AACTAAGGACGAGCGCGCGCAGGAACGACAACTCGATTTTATTTGCATGTACGGACGGATGTACGCACGGATGATCATGCAGATTTATGACGTTTTTTGACGTCACAGAAATTTTAAAAAATAACATACTCCAGATCGCGATTTGACTTTCCGAAAACCCTGGTTGACAACATGGACTATTATAATTTGTAAATAACACCTTTCCTCATGCCTGTTGTAAATTTTGATTCCAGCTTGCTGCAAATTTATTGAAGTATTTTTTACGTCTGGCCGTTTATCGAAAATATTCTTCAATGTAAGATGAAAATTTGATCACAAATAACAATGTGTTTTGGTCGAATTATTTTACCCATTGAAACTATTGGAACACACAATTGTATGCCGAATGAAAAATTATCTGACTTGTACAAAGATATTCCTATAGCAACCCAGTGTCGATTGTTGTCTGCACGTATTAATTTACCAGCAGTTACATGTAATAACATGTCAACCGACTTTTGTAAAAGGTATGACGGTCTGTAAAAATATATCTCTGAGATATGTCCATTGTTAGCATAATATGAAATAATCCTACCGGCATACATTTATATATTCACCTGGCTGTGTCACTACAGTACTCAGGGTATACTATATTTTTTGATAATGCTCAAAATTTCTTGTATTATATATATATATAGTTTTGCAGTTCTAACTGAGTACAATCTTAATCATTACAAGTGAATAGTGTCATCAGAAGCTGACATATGAAACAAAACTGTCAATAAATAGCAAGGCCGGCGAGAGCCAACCACGGGCCCCGGGACAAAATGACGATTGGTGAACACGGGCCCCCTGTCCCTCTCGACTCTCCCGCTGGCTATTTTTAATCGCAATGAACGAGAGAATTGCCAGCGAATTGCTTCCAAGAAATCGCTGCATAACTGATAAAAACGCAATGTGAACGCTGTTCAGCTAACTGTTTTTGCTGAGAAAACGATCGAAAAATCGTTTATTTCACACCTGGTACGTTTTACGATCGAAGACGACGATCAACGGATAGTGTGCAAGTAGGCGTATTTCATTTAGGACAAACATAAAGCGATGATAAACAATACGAACATTTACCGAGATTTTTGGGCCCCTATGAGCACTCCGGGCCCCGGGTATTTTGCCCCCCCCCTTCTCGCCGGCCTTGACAAATAGATTTTGTCTCCCCATCAGGCATCAACAGATTGTTGAGTTGTTTTGCAGTAGGGGTAGCTATTGGTGTAGCGTTGAAGGTGCCATTATTGCATTAAAACGATAATTGGAACAAAAACTGACTTAATCATATTTCTATATATGAAATTGTTATTAAATTCTACATGTCCAATGATTCATTCAAGTATTATTATCGTTTATATATACTTAGTATGATTTCGTACAGTATTCAGTGGCAAGCTAGCTACCATGGCAACTGTTCCGTGCCACACCAATAAACCTGCAACTATTTGAATAATGCAAATCATTAAAAACTTGCATAGCATGACCTGTTGCTATGGCTAGCTTCACCTCTGACAGTTTATAATTATACATACAAAAGAAAGAAGTTATAAGCATTGAATGTATTCATATAAAACTGCCCATGCCAAGTAAGTAGAGTTAGAATATTTAGCTGACCTTTGACCTTGTGCAAGGTGTTTGATATTCAAATTGCACTTTTCCTTTCTCCTGAACAGATGTCTTAGGGCTGTTTACGTGATGGAAGGTGGGATGATATTTGATGTATTTGAGGCTAAACAAAGGTTCAAATGCTTGTTAACAGAACTCAAATATGGTAGAGAAAATCTTGTACATGGTGCCATCCATTGGGGGTGAGGCAACACTTTCCTTGCGATAGTAACTTCTAGTACAATAGTTGTTACATTTCGATGACCTGGGGCGGTTGTACGAAAGTAGTGATAGACCCCTATCTGGCAACGGAAGTAATTAGTATGCAAACTTAGGTGTCGGAAGTAATGAGTATGCAAAATATATGACGTCACTCGGGCAAGCCTGGTCCAAATGTGACAGGTAGCGCGACCAATTAGCGCGGGCAAGCCTGGGCCAAATGTGACAGGTAACGCGACCTATTAGCATCACAATACAGAACGTCAGGAAATTCAGGACGATAGGTACACAAACTGTTTTTATATTTTTAAGCGTGTATTTTTAAGCATAACATCAATTACGTGCGGGATATATAGATTGTTTTATTATAAGAGTTGTGTTTATTGCTTGTGTGTACATATGTAACTGGCCGTACAAAGAATGGCTATCCGGCGCATTATTCGCCATCTTTTTGTAAATGGCCATAACTCTCAAATGAAGCTTTAGTATTTACAAGGCTTATGAGTAGAATTGTAGCTGAATTTTTCAAGTAGCACAATCCGGTAAATAGCGTAGTTTGTATAATCCACGACCCCCCGTTTTTTAGGTATCCTTTTCTGGCAAATTGTTCTATATTGCCTGATAATAATGTTACAGTTATGATGATTATCACTACTCAGGCGGGTGCCGGGACGCGCGGGTAGAAAGAGCGGGCTTTGCAGGCAAAAGTTTGCACAAGATTTCAGTTTTAAAATACATTTATTTCTTCAAAACGTTTTACAAAATTTAGTACTGTCTACTTCTAAGAGCATAAATTTGGGTGTTTTTATTTTATTTTTAAAGTGTTCTCGTATTCTTGTCTATCTTTTTTATTGTACATTAGCCAAGGTTTCTTTAACAAAGTTTCGGACCGTTGGCTCGTCTTCGCCAGATTCACCCACTTCATACGACCCGTAGATTGGTTCACTATTTTGACAGGCCAATAATTTTCTCCGCCGATGTAGACACCCGGATGGCTAGAATCAAAACTATTGCGTGATGACTTATACATCTCAGTGATAACATATCCTTCGGGAATGTTACGGACCACCTGTGCTCCCAAAGTGTAGTTTTGCCACTCGGGAATAGTTGCATCCGACCAGGTAATATGATGTTTATGATGTTTTCTTCTAGGCTTGTGACTCGGTGTGGGCTCGACACTAGTACTGTTCACTTTAGTTTGGGTGGCGAAGAGATAAACACGGCAGTCGCCAAACAGGTCCCCAAGAACTTGCTTATTGCTGGTGTATCAGGCTTGTTATCCACCAACAAGTATCCAAACGATTTTTCAGTCTCTTTATCCGCTGGATAGGGACTTATCCACCGGATAGCGATTTATCCACCTTTTGTACACTACCGGCACCTGTATGTTTTCCAAGTCACGTCGCCATTCCGCGTTTGACGTCATAACGAAAAAGGTCTATTATTATGTACACAAGGTCTGGGTAAGAGGTATTCTGCAATCTGATTGGTTCTCTACTCATATCCTGCTAGTAGAGAAAAACAAAATGGCGGCTCAAACTGAATTATCGACGTTTTGTGAACGAGAAAACGGCAAATTGTTCGCTTTTAATAGCCTTTACAGGATTAAAAACACAATGAAAAAACTCCCTCAAATTGTTTACACTGGGTTAGCAAATGAATTTTTAAAATTTAAAAAGGTTAAAAATATTAGATATATATTTTTGAAAAAATAATCGGCCGAAAGAGCGAGGATAAAAACATAAACAAAATTGAAAAAAATTGAAAATATCCGAAAAGCAAAGTCTGTGAATTCAGACCTTGTGTATATATTAATAAAACAGTTATTCTACTCACTCTCGTCGAATATGAGCGATAGCCGATTCGGCGCTACGCGCCTATCGGCTATCACTAAGTATCAGCTCATATTCGACGAGAGTGAGTAGAATAACTGTTAAATGTCACGCGTGCCACGGCGCGTGACTGTCCGCGTGATTTGGCCGAAGTCACCAGTTATAGTGATATTGGACAATTCTTCTCCTCCCGCCTTTTGCTATTATTGGTGAGCATGTAAGCAAATTCCTTCCTATAAGAACAGAAAGTATGACTTCGGAAAACTATAAATATTAGCCGCATTTCTTTCTTAATTAACTCTAAGTGGAAATGGTAAGGCAATTAAAAGGATTAAAGCATATAGTCACGGTTAATAGAGCCGACTTCTGTAATTATTATACGCAGTTGCCTTGGTGATATTCAGTACAACTATACGATATGATTGTGTTTGACCAAGGACCTATAATAATTGCAGCAAAGCTAGTCGCGAACACTGGGGAAAAAATGTGAAATCCATACTAGTATATCCATACTATTTCGATACTTTTTCCATAGTATGAAAATATACAATTATTATGGATAATCAAAAATCCATTCTATTTCCAATAAAAGTCCATACAATTTCCATTCTATGGATATTTTCAATTTTTTCCCAGTAGAAGTTGGAAATAATAAATAATATATGGTATACTAATTAAAAATATGATATTTTTTTAAAACTTGGCAACTATCAACCGATAGCCTAGGATGACCATAATTTTCGGATTTATCAAAACCATCCTATTTAGCCGTTTTTACCTCCGGACATTAATAATATTGAAGTAATATTATCAGTACACAAAAAGGAATTGATGAGAAACTCTAGTCTTGGAAGAATTTTTTCGCACAGTTTACCAAAATCTGTTACCTGAAAATTAAAAAGCGGACCCATTGGTAACTTGTATAATCTGAAACTTTAAGACTAATTTTGCAAAATATGATTCTTATACAGTATAAACTTTTGGAGGGTTTGTTTAGTGTTACATGCGTTTTTTGCGTGATGTGCTTTTTGTGTGGGTTTTGGGGTACATATACCTGTAGTACTTTGTTTTATCTTACTAATATTCTGATACATTTATTTTATTATTGTACTGAAATTAGTATGTTGGTTTAGACGGCTCCAGTTGATATAGCAGTATATAGTTCTTACTATATAGCTACTGATTAGACTACCTTAAATAAAGGTTTGACTGAATTCAATTTTAACTAAATCTAGAGATAATATTTTCCCATGTATACATTGGCATATCACCTTAGCATATTATACGAGGCTATAAGCTTGTGGTTAATGCTCAAGAATCGGACTCAGTAACTCAGTTGGTCAAGCGCTGCACCGGAATCGCAGTGCCGCAAGTTCAATTCCTGCCAGAGGGCCGCAAGTTGCATCTTTTGCAGCTCTCCCGTGATTAAAAATCAGTAGATGCAACATGAAAGCCTTTGTTTGATCTCTTCAAGCTGTTTAAATTCATACGATTGATAATATTCGATGAGATTTCATTACAATAATTTATTTAGGTGAACTTGTTTTGGCCGTCGTTGTCGCTTTGCCGTCCTACATCTTAAGGTCCCTAGTAAAGTACTGATGTCTGATGACGACGTCGGCAGTCGACATTTCGCGTTGTCGTTTGCAATTGAGATAAACTGTATAGTGTCTGCATGAAGATAGCAACATAATTGAGACGTGATGGGATGAAAATTTGTTTCAAAACTTCTCAAATGTCCATTCATTCAAGCCAATGCAAGGCTCTTCGTAAGGGGCAAGGTTATACAAAGCAGTGGTGGCGCCAAGGAGGGGCTAGGGAGGGGGGCTACAGCCCCCTTGTTGGGGAGCCCTAGCCCCCCATCGGGGAAAATTAATAGATGCGTCGGGGAAAACTGAGAACAAAATTTGAAGGAATTCCAAAAAGCACGATCTTGTCGCCATGCTCGTTCTCCCGCGTGTTATTACATTAATTATTAATCATTGACATTAATATTCATTCACTTCTGCACTAGCTAGCAAGGTGCGACTGTACTTCGTAGTTACGCACATTTCTTAATATAGTACATGCGTTACGCAAGTTCGCTTACGTACCCGCAGACATCAATACATAAATATAGCACGCTAAATGACATTACAATTACCTCATATTCTAAATGTAGCTTTCGCATGGCATATATCAGGGTTTATTTTAGGAGAAATTTAGAACTGCACATATATAGGGATGTTACGAAGGCAACGGGTGTTTGACTGGGGGGAGGGGTGGTCGAAGGATTTTTTATCTGCATGTAGATGACAGAATAATGGTGTGGTTGGGAGGGAGAATTGGAGAAAGGCCAGACAAACTCGATTTTAGGTCAGCAAAGCTAGAATATTAGGTTCTCCCACTCTAATCTCTTTTGGAGAACTTCGCTCGCCCCAATTTTACCTTCTTTTCCATTACCCCAGCACGTAAGTGATTTGTGAGGAGAATAGGAGGGTCTGGACTCCTCTCCCAGAAAAGGTTTATATTTGTGATGCTCAATTAATGACAGCATTTCTGGAGCACCACAAGGGTAACGAGTAAATGAGAAGACTGTTTTAATTAAGGCTATTTTTGTTAGTTTGGTGACTGCACATTTGTGTTTTAAGAACTGCACAAATGGGTTTAGAACTGCACATTTTGTGTAGAACTGCACGTTAAAATAAACCCTGGCATATGTAAACGTACACTTGCACATTTTATGTAAATAACTTATATAAAGTAAAGATATCTTAGTCTATCTCGCTTGGCGCACTCAAAAGGACATTGACGACTTTCTACGTGAAATAAGTATTCTGCGGAACTTATTTCTACATGAACCGGCAATCATCTTCAATTTGGAAATCGGAAAGCAATACTCGCTCTAAAAACGTATTTGGCCATATGCTCTAAAGTTCGTTGAACAGTTTGTTATGAAGTTTTTCAAAACGACTATGTCGGGAAACAAAGAAAATCTAAACACAAAGACTTTCACGCGCCTGGTCGTCAGGCTCCCATAACCATTGAGTTGGATAAATCTGATACTCGTCAGAGTAAAGCTGTATCGCCGCCACTCCCACAAACGTCTACAAGTCCCGTAATAGATTGATTCGTACATTTTATAAAGAATGCATCATGCTGGCTCAATGGTATATTTTAAGTGTATAAATTATGTTAGTATATACTGTACGCTTAACCATGAAAAAATTTGCATAGCCCCCCAGTCGGGGAACATATAGCCCCTCCGTCGGGAAATTTCTGACGCCACCACTGATACAAAGACCGGATAGCGCGATCCACCGAGATAATAATAATAATAATAATAATAATAATAATAATAATAATAATAATAATAATAATAATAATAATAATAATAATAATAATAATAATAATAATAATAATAATAATAATAATAATAATAATAATGGAAACTTTAATAATTTTGTTATATACTATATATATACAATTGTAAATCTCACTAATTTAAGGTAACTTACAATTGGCTATTTGAATCACAACTATATGAACTAATAAAAATGATAAGACAGAATACATGAAAATATATAAATATACAAGACAATCAGATATTTCAAATAGTTAACAAGTCCGGACTTTCCCATTCCTTATTTCGGGGAGCAAAAAATATAGTATGTACTTCGAATGGCAATAGTCATCATTTTCCTAACACAGTACGTTTGGTAGTTTTTGTCCAGACGAAGTAAACTTTATAAATCTTTCTATGAGCTCCCTAGGTATTTTTGCGCAAAAATACCTAGGGAGCTCATAGAAAGATTTATAAAGTTTACTTCGTTAAAATTTTCGTCTAGTTGTTTTCCTAGTTCTTTATATTTGGCTTTTTTCCGATTAACGTTGTTCTCGAGGTTTGTCTCATAGCCAACAGTGAGCTCAACCACATAAAGAGAGCCATTTGATAACGATAGCAACAAATCCGGGCGATACGTATCACCAGTTATTATTGAAGGACTTTTGAATCCAGGCACATCAGCGTAGAGGGCAGAACCGTTCACAGTTTGCAAGGTATTGGCAAGGAAGTTCAGGATTGAATTGTGTCTCCACGTAAATCGATCGAGATAATAATAATAATAATAATAATAATAATAATAATAATAATAATAATAATAATAATAATAATAATAATAATAATAATAATAATAATAATAATGGAAACTTTATTGAAATTATATACGTATATATACAATTATAAATCTCACTAATTTAGGTAATTTATAATTGACTACTTGAACCTACTTAATATTTATATATTAATAATGAGTATCCTTAAATGTTCAGTAATTCCGGATTTAACCAGTCCTTATCTCTGCAACAAAATATATAATATGTTGTCCTAATCGCGATAGACATAATTTTCCTGATAGCGAAATACTGGTGTCTTTTATCAAGACCTAGATCAGTTAACATATCTAAAAAGGAATGACATTCTTTTGAGAAAACGCCTAAAGAACTAATTGACAAATTTACAAATTTTACGGACTTAAATTGTTTCTTTTGCTGTGTAATGAGATCTTCGTATCTTCTTCTTTTCCGATCAACATTTGTTTGTAGATTAGACTCATAGCCAACAGAAAGTTCAAGGATATAGAGACAATCCGAGTTGATAGATAGAAGTAGGTCTGGGCGGAATGTGTCACCAGTTACAATTGATGGGCTTTTATAACCAGGAAGATCGACGAAAAGATTGGAGTTGTTTACAGGTTGTAGCGTTTGTGCTATGAAGTTCAGAACAGAATCATGTCTCCATGTAAATCGTGGGAGGTACGTTTGACATCCAGCAACTACGTGTAAAAGGGTTTCAGGGTTTAAGCAGAAGGAGCAATCAGAGTTTGACAATATTCCCCATTTAGTAAGGTTTTTACGAGTTGGAAGTGAGTTATTAATGTAACGAATGGTGAAGTTATAGATGTTCTTTGGGAGGTTTGATTGGGATTTAGACCATATACCGTTTAATTTCGACAGTGAAAACTTAATGACATTTGAGAAGAAGGAGCCTTGCAAAATCAGATGATTCTGCAGTTTGTCTTCTTGTCCGGAGGTAAAAGTTTTAAGGACTTCCTTTGTCGAGGTGTAGACGTCGTACTGAATGTTTTTGCTTTCAGATGTTGTTTTCCAGAGGTCTTTTATGGAATGATTTGGAGAGGTCTTTAAGGCGTTACGAGCAACTGTTTGGCACTGAACAAACTTAATTGACGGCGGGTAGATATTTAGACCAAACTTGTTACTGGTAAGGTAGACGTTAGATAGAGTTCCTGATATAGGTATTTCAAGCCATTTACGTACGTACTTGTTCACCACAGAATCCATATTTTCAGAGACCCAGGTTTTTGATAAGGTGGTTACAGTGAAATGCCAGGAAAGTTTGGATAGGAGGTAACGACTATAAAGCAAAAGTTTATTTTTTGGGTGCAAAGGTTTGAGATCAATTTCAGACATAATGTCGTCCATGAGAGTGATTAGCTCTTGTTTGTGTTCTTTTTCGGACATACTGAAGTCAAAATATTTCCCCAAGTATCGAAACGACTCTCCAATTTTAGTGGCAGGTATCAATTCATTGTTAATCAGAAGTTTAGGTAAATATTGGATAGATTTTGTGAGACTTTTCCTGATCCCAAATGTTGAACAATAATAATAATAATAATAATAATAATAATAATAATAATAATAATAATAATAATGGAAACTTTATTAAATGTTTTTCTTTACATACATATACAATCGTAAATCTCTCTCATAAAGGTAACTTACGGTTGGCTATTTGAATCACAATTATACTAAACTAAAATAACAGAACAAAGTGCATGCAATATATATATATATATATATACAATGAGATAAGTCAAATTGTTAGTAAATCCGGATTTTCCCATTCCTTATTTCGGCAACAGAAAATGTAATATGTAGTTCTAATAGCAATAGTCATCATTTTCCTAACACAGTACATTTGGTGGTTTTTGTCAAGACCAATACTATCTAACATGTCTAAAAATGTATAACATTCTTCTGCAAAAATACCTAAAGAGCTGATGGAGAGGTTTATAAATTTAACTTGGTTAAAATTTTTACCTAGCTGTCTCAATAATTCTCTATATTTATCCTTCTTCCGTTTTTCGTTGTTTTTGAGGTTTGTCTCATAACCAGTGGTGAGTTCAACCACATATAAGGAACCATTTGAGCACGATAATAACAAATCTGGGCGATACGTATCACCAGTAAGTATTGAAGGGCTTTTGAATCCATTTAGGTCGGCGTAGAGAGTAGAACCGTCAATAGTTTCTAACTGATGAGCAAGAAAGTTCAGGACTGAATTGTGTCTCCACGTAAATCGGTCGAGATAAAACTGACATCCAGCTACTATGTGTAGTAATGTTTCAGGGCTAAGACAAAAAGAACAGTCTGAATTTGAAGATATTGCCCATCTGTTTAGGTTTTTACGCGTCGGAAGAGAGTTGTTAATGTAACGAATGGTAAAGTTGTAAATGTTTTTCGGGAGCTTTGATTGGGCGACGAACCACACCTTGCTAAGCTGAGGTAAAGCGAACTTCGTGACGCTGCAGAAAAAGGATCCTTGACTGGTTAATTGGTTTGGGAGTTTGTTTTCGTGTCCAGAACGGAAATCTTTGAGAACTTCCTTAGTAGAGTTATAAGCGTCATATTGGATATTAGTATGGTTACTGGTTGCTCTCCACAGGTCGTTAGTTGATTCATTAGGAGAAGATTTTAAAGCTTTTCGGAGGACTGTTTGACACTGGATAAATTTTACAGATGGAGGATAAATACTCAGGCCAAATTTATTGTTTGTTAGAAAGACAGTACTTAGTGTTTCTGATATTGGTACTTCAAGCCATCTGCGGATATATTTGTTGGCAATAGAGTCGATATTTTCAGTAACCCATGTTTTAGAGAGTGTTGCGACGGTGAAGTGCCAGGCTAACTTGGACAAGACGTAGCGACTGTAGAGGAGCAGTTTATTTTTGGGGTGTAGTGGCTTAATAATAATAATAATAATAATAATAATAATAATAATAATAATAATAATAATAATAATAATAATAATAATAATAAACTTTATTTGATGAGGGCAAATATACATTTTTACCTGAGAAGGTATTCTACCAAATGGCCCTCTAAAAATTAGATAAGCTACAGTATTTACAATATATACAAAGAAGCAAGACTAGTTGTATTTGACACAGCACATGGGACTATACGTGTATAGTACCAAATACAAAAATAACTATATTACTAAGCATGCATAATATTTTTTTTTAATTTTGATAATATAAGTTAGTTAAAAAATAAAAGGAAATTCAGTGCGGGTAACAAATGCACTTAACTAGGTTTTTGCAAGAAAGACACGAAAATTGTTCAAGATGGTCAATCTCATGATTAAGATTAGAGAAAAACCTCTGAACTTTATGTTTATACGCAGAAGGGGAGTAATCATAAAACACTTGGTGAATAATTGAAAAGTAAAACACCACTGTATGAGAGTTCGGTCTTGGAAAGATTAGATTTGACAGATGGTATTTTGAGATCAGTAACAGAGGAGCGAGTATATACATCGTGCGATGCCCCTGAGAAACAAAATAACTCGCGCAGATCACTTGGAGATGAGCTACGCAAGGTGCTTACAACGAATGCTTGCATCTTAATTAAGTTGTAGATGGGAATCCATTCTAGTTTGCGGAACAGATCAACAGAAGGAGTTGACATACTCTCGTCCAAAGCCAATCTGGCTGCTCTTTTTTGAAGTTTAAGCAAAGGGTCGATAAGCTCATTGCGTGCATTGCCCCAAATAGTGATGTCATAAAGTAAATGGGGATAGACAAAGGCATAGTAAAACTGAATTCTACATTTCAGTGGAAGGGCTGGGCAAATACGCTTAAACAGATAAAGCCTGGAATTAAGATATTTATATATCTTATCCACTTGGTTGTCCCAGGAGAGATTTTTATCCAGTAAGATACCTAAAAGTTTGCCAGAAGTAATTTCTTCAATCCAAAAATCCGCATAAAGTATGCTATCATAATCAAGCTGTGAATACTTACGCTTTGAATAAATTTTCATGAATTTGGTTTTGCTAAAATATTAAGAATAGTAACGGGCAAGGAATGGAACCCTGAGGGACCCCAGTAATAATTGTTAAAGGTTCAGAAAGGACTTCGTTAATTTGCACCTGTTGAGTTCGTCCTTCAAGATACGAGGCGAACCATTTTAGGGTTAGGTCAGTAGCTCCGTACGCGTGGATTTTTTGGAGCAAAATATTATGATCCACTAAATCGAAGGCTTTGGAAAGTCAAACATCAAAACACCGTTAATTTCTCCATTATCAATATTACTAACAAGGTATTCGTAAATCATGTTTAATTACGTTTCGCACGAGTGGCCAGGTCTGAATCCATGTTGGTAATCGGATAGAATTTCATGCTTAGTTAAATATAAAAAATATGAATTAAACACATATTTTTCAAGGATTTTTGAGAGAATAACCAGGATAGAAATTGGTCTAAAGTTTCCTCTTTCACTCATTTCGCCAGATTTGTATATTGGGATTAATTTTTTTCCACAAGGCTGGAAAAATACCTGTGCTGATGCTTAAATTGCATATGGTGGTAACAGTATTGGAGATCATGTTTGCAGGGAACTTTAGGAAGTGGGCGGGAAGACCATCAATTCCTGTCGCTTTAGAGGGGTTCAATTGTTTCAGGGAATCAGAAACCTCCTCAATAGTAATAGGGGGATACTAAATTTAGTTTGCCTAACAGATAATGAGAAGGCTGACTGACTGTAGTCAACAGCCTCACTCATGTCAAACTTGTCCTGAATGTTGGTAAAATATTCGTTAAAGAGATTACTGACAATTGCAAGGTTGTCATATCTCACATTATCAATAACTAAAGATAGAGGGGGAGGAGCCTTATTAAGATTTATAGTTGATTTCAAAACTCGCCAAATTTGTTTAGAATTCGTAGAATTGTCATTAAGAAGTGTTTTTATATACGAGGTTTTTGCATTCCTGATCAAATGTACAGACCTATTGCGCCAAGTCTTATA